GCTTTATTGTTTGATTAAATCTGCTTCTATTTCAACCCACAAGTTTCCTTTTTTTCCCCAATTCCCCGTTCTCGGCTGAGAGGGGGCTCTCGGGGGACAAAGCAATTGCTAGTGTTTAGCCCATAGGTGGGCTAAACCAAGACATAAAAACCTACATTGAATTCAAGAATTAATGTAAGAGCTACTGAAAGGCATGGCTTAGTTTCTATGGTAACTGAGTTTACATTATAAAATTACATAGTGTTCAGGTGTTACATGACACAACAAAACTACTATTATTTTTAGATTTTGTATTGGATTTTCTTCTGTAGAATTCTGTCTCTGACACATACATGCGTAGTGCAGCTTTGGACGTCCTTCAGTATCCAGGGTGGTGATGTAAGATTGGCAGATAAGATACTAGAACTACAGAAGCTCATGTCTTCCTTGAGTGGCATCTAGACACTGATAAGCGAGGGCTTCTCAAGCAGCATCTTGAAAATATACTTAAACAACAGAATACCACTCCTATGTTTTAACACAGGGCAAGGTCCAAAGTACATAAAAATCTTTATCAACCTTCCTCGATCTATGGATTTTGAAGAAGCAGAAAGAAGTGAACCAACTCAAGCCCTGGAGCTGACACCAGATGATATTAAGGAAGATGGTATTGTCCAGCTTCGCTATGTAAAATTTCAGAATGTTAACAGTGTAACTGTAAGTAAAGCTGCTGTTCTGATGTCTGTGCAGGCTGAAAACTTAATTTGCTTTTAAAGCTGTGCATGTTTGTTGTTTTCATTGCAAATGTTCCTAGTTTCTGTCTGCCAATTGCATACTGTATGTTTGTGCTAAAAGTGTTTCAGGAATTGAAGGTGACACAAGGCCATGTGCACGCAGCGTCTCTTCTGACCTAGTATGAGACATAAGGTTTGCTTTCACCTCTTCATGAGTTAGCGTGCTGTTTAACACAACTTGCATTTTTACTAATATACCTTCTTAAAAGGCATCTTGTCTTCATTTGAAGAGTTGAGGAGACGAGGAATCCTTTTTCTCAGTAACCTGATTGCAGAAATGACAGTTTTCTGAGTATCAAGTGAAGCACTTGCCATATCTTTAAACTCAGTACCTGCCCTCTGAGAGGGTTCTTAAGTGCTGTAATCAAAGCACCTTTGTCTTTTAATGAGCTCTCTAATTCTCTTGCTCTAAGAGACTTTCCGCAGATTTCACATAGGGTTTTTGACTCTTAAACGCAGGTGCAGTTTCTCCTCTTCCATTTCAAAAATACAGGTTCTAGTGCAATATGTACAATGACTAAATTGATGTGGAATTGCTTTATGCTTGACATCATCCTGTGCTGTGCTAGCCTTGTTTCCTGCAGTATTGCGTTGAACTGTTTTTCCAATATGACCCCTGAATTCTTTCTATGGAAATGCTTTTTGTGGCCCGAGTTATGCATTTGCCAATGTATGGACTTACAGTGGATTGAATTAAATTATATTTTAGTAGGCTGGCCACAGAAGTCACTCAGCTTATTATGAGTTACAGGTAACTCCAAAACACTGATCCACCGTTAATCTTTCCATCATACTTTTTCTTCTGTAAAAAAGTTTCTGAAACTTCTAAACCACTGTTGTTGGACTGCATTTCAGATCTGTCAGCTGCTTTCATGCTTAGCAGTGTTTACTAGCAATTATTTTAAATGTAATGGGAGACAAACCTAAGTAACTCCTTTTCACACCTGTTATTTTTATGGAGTTACCCTTTGTGACCAACTTTATCCTTCCCCAAATGAAATGGAGGTAGGTCATGTAGGCTTATATTCTCCAAAGCTGTGCTGACAAGTACAAGTTATGTATTTGTTCTTTAATAAAATCCTGTGTCAGCTTTAGACAGGATGATGTGCAAACACTAAGCAAGTGATAAGATGATCAAATAGATGTTCTGCTTGTTTGCACTCTTTGCATGTGGGTGCTGCAGTAGCACTCCCCTAGTTTCCAGGCTAAACCTGGATTCTGTATTTAAACCCAAAACCAAGACAGCTAATCATCTTGTCTTCTACCTAGCTTTTCAGCGCAGGTGATGAAGCTCTGCTTGCTTACATAGCCCTGTGAATAAAAATCTTCCATTTGGTTCTTAATGAATTGAAGGAGGCAAAGTTGTCATATACACAAATTGTCCTGTTTTTCTGCCATGAATAATCAGACATGCTTAGTGAGCATTTCCATGTCAGTATTAGCAAGTTCATACTTCATACATAGATATATATATCTATCTCACTGCTAGGTTTGTTAGTTAACTTACTTTTCTAATTATTAATTCTATACCCTGTAGTTGCTAATCTGTATAATTCATTACCTCTAATGCTGGTTTTCCCTATTCATTGTGTGCTTCTCTTCATTACTGCTACTTCGTGGCATTTGTTTTCTCTGTACTTGTTGAACTTTTCATATCATTACTGAGACAGAATCTCTGAACACACTGCAGTACACCTCTGTTTGACAAAAGTTGGTCCTTGACATGCTCTTCTGCTCCTGTCTGAAGAGTACTTTCTTCAGCATTTCAACCCTCACCTTCCATAGGTCTTGTTTGTGTAGGAAAATACACGGTCTTCCAACTGCAGTGAAGCTGCTTAGAGGGGTGAATGTCTGTACTGGTCTAGGTCAGCAGTCCGTCTTGCTTGTCATGCACTTGCAAGCATCCAGTGTTGTCACAGAAAAATTTATAAGGCAGGCATGTGGTGATGTGTACCCTCCAGCATTTAGTGGTCTGTGGCACAGGCAATTTTGGAGGCAGAAAGGACGTCTTGATAGGTATGGATTATGGCTTGTGGAAAGGGTGTGATGCATGCTCTCCCTTGCCTACCTGTTGTCCTCCCTCGCCTTTTTTTTCCTTTGCTTCTCATGCCATTACTCTTTCGCTTTCTCATTCCTCCTTTCTCCATGCTCACAATGAAGTGTGGAAAGATCCATAAACACTTCATTGCTCCAAGTTCCTTACTAATACTACTTCATGCAAAAAATTGTTCTTTCATTTGTCCGTTTTTTAAAGTGTAGTGGTTCCAGCAATAATTTCTTAGTTCATGTTTCAAAAGAAGTTTGGTATTTTTTGAAACCCTAAAATAACTTCATAGAACTAATATTCATGCTGTAAAACACATAATAATGCAATCTGTAATAGTAAACTACACATGAATAGTCTTGGGGGCTTCAGCAAGCATAGTTAAGTTGATATTTAACTTCATTTCAAGGCAGATCCCAGTGAATTATGAATGAATAGTGAATTATGACTTCTTAAATCCTGTTTTTGCTCGCCGAATGTGGTCTCAGGTAGGAGGTAAAAGCTGGGAAAATCCAAACAAATTACCAGGAAAATAACAGCATTCTATATAATCATTATTTAAAATAAGAGTACACTAGTTTCTCTAAAGGTTACAGAGGCCTTTGTAATTGGAAAAAGTGTTAATTTAGTTAGTTAAAATATCTTGGGCACTTAACGTTTTTATATATTAATTCAGGGAAGGACAGTTTAACTTAACTCTTGTATTTGGGTCTTTTTCTTTAGTTGTTTGTCCAATCCAATCATGGTGATGAAGAGACAACAAGAATCACATACTTCACATTTATTGGAACTCCAGTCCAAGCAACAAATATGAATGACTTCAAGCGAGTGAGTCCTCTTCCTGAAAGCACTTTTGAATGTTTTAAACCTACTCAAAAATGTATTGACAGGACAAATACACTTGGTTGTTATTACAGTTCCATAACTTAAGGTAGTTTTGGCATCCAAAAGAAAATGTGTAGCTTTATCTTACAGATCTTTCGTCTTGCTTACAAGTTTTTGTTCATCAACTTTTTAAAAAATAAGAATGTATATATGAAAACTTGAGGAAGTGTCAAGTTACAATGTTGTCTATAGTGTATGTTTTTTTAATGATTTTTAAACTTTCTTCTGATGAAGTTCAGGAAGTAGAGAAGCAATTGCATGTACAAAAACAGACTCCTTGTGATCGATTTTACTTCTGCTTCGAAGGATTTTATTCACTGGGCAACATTAAGCTTGAGACCTGGAGAATATTTGGTCACAAGGTGTCTGTTTATATTAAACATACCTGCTTTTTAAAGAGGAAATGAAGAAGCAAACAACTTGTTACAGTATGACTTTAGACACCCACCACAGCCCAGGCAATAAGGCACTCTAGATTCTTGATTTTTTTTTTTTTTGAGAATGTGAAACGGGTTTGAAAGGATTTACACTTTAAAGCTACTTACAACTTTTTCAAAATGTAGTAAGTCTTTTTAAAATAAACTGCTTTAAAACTTAGTAGCCTTTGTAAGAGGCAAATACTGCTGTAACACCTGCCTACAAACTACTGTGTGGGTGACCAATAACATTGAAAGCACCACAGAATTTATTACACAAATAACCTATAACTTCAGAAGATTAAAAACGCTAACACTCGCCAAATTGTCACATACTTGGAATTGTTAACATCAAAACTTGATCTTAACTTCTACATGTAAAACTTAATATCTTTGCAGGTAATAAGTTAATAACAGTTTGCTGCCTTTCAATGCTACTTGGAAGTAATTGAAAAAGTTGTTCTAATGTGCTGAAGTTAACTGGATATCAATTTTAGACTTTACTAATACAGCACTTCCAATTGTCCCAAAACTAGAAATACATTAATTGATCTACAATCTGCTTACATTTTTTTGTTCTATATGGCTTTTTTGTCAGTACTTATGATATTGGGGCACCCCCTGCAATGAGTTTTGCAATTACTATTTTAATGTGCAGTACTTTCTGGTATTGTTGTGAGGGGGATGGGACTCTGACTCAGTATTTGATGTCTGTCTCACTTGCAGCTCTCTGTAAACTCTGTAAATTAGTTTTGCTTTCAAAAGTACGGAAAGTTTATTTTTAACAAGTGCACTCTTTAAACCTGACCTTCTGATTGTTAAAGTAGTGATTGGTTTGTTTTCTTTTTTTTTGAATTGGTAATCCTGATTGGGGTGCACTTGGTAAAGCAAGGCAGTTCTTTGTAGAATTTTACATGGGTTTGAGACCAGTGTTGAGCCCCCACTACATGCGTTTCCTACAGTGTTTTAAGTTGCATGGACAAGGTGTTAGTGTGGTGGACACAGTACTGCCTTAGCCTGAAACGACTGCTGGAACAATCAGAGCTCCAGTCCATGTTTGTGTGGGGAGTGGATGTTTTAATTCACCCTTGCCCTCACACAAAGCCTATAAAGGCTTTAAAAATAGCATGGGTCTCCAGGCATCTCATCCCTCTACTGTAGTTAGAGGGGATTTACAGATATGTGTTTTAGATACAGTGTGGATGCTTGGAAGCTGCTATGTGGTAATACTATGGTAAATGGTAAATACTATGCCAGTTAACAATTCTGGCTTCCTTGAAGTTTGCAGGTGAATGAATGAACCATCAAGGAGTGTGTCACAAGACACAAAGGCTTGACTCATTTAAATGGAAGGGAGGGTGTGCAAACTTACAAGACTATATGTGCACCAAACAGTCCCATGGTGTTAGCATTGCGCTGGCAACATCAGGATGCTGAGGAAGTGGTCAGAATAGCCTTAAATAGAGGAGCAGGTGTTACTGCGTTATGAAGTGGCTAATCCTGTCTCATTTCTGATACTCACTGACTCTATATGTAACTTTTCTATTTTGCTTCCTGAATATGTAGGTTTAGTATTAGGCTGTTAAAATATTTCATCATAACAAATGGGATGTGTAGTCTGGCAGAGTTGCAGTGCTCTTAGGAATTTTAACTTGTGTTTCCTCTCTTCAGTGATCCTGCCAGTTGTGACACCTTAATATAGCATTGGACATTAATTATGTTTAAGTTTGTAGGTTAACTGGGAAACCTTATTCTTTTCACCTCCTTGAGTAGTTACCCACACTGCTCCTTGGCTTTCATCTGTCTCACTCCCTCATCTCAGTCTGTCTCTACTCTTCGTAGGTCTCTTTTAATTAGGATAGAAATAGTATTGCTATATGAACCACAAGATGGGGGAATGCTTTTTTTTTTCCTTGAGTTTGAGAAGTGTTTGTAAGAATCTGTCAAATATTTTATTTGCAGGGCTTGAATTAAGAAGTGGACATGGATGTGATTTCAGTCACGTTTTTGTGATTGATCACATTGCTGTTCGGTTGATTGTATGCACGTTCAGTTTTGAAGTAAAAAACAAAACCAACACGTTGGTTTGAGTGACTTGTGCTAAGGATCAGGCTAATGTATTTTGCTTCCCATTTGGGGTGGGATCTGAACACATGCTTTTAGTTACAGCAGCTCAGCAATTGATTATTAAGGTGCATAACTGCAGGTCTCACGTCCTTCAGACAGTTGAGGAAAACTGATATTTGCTCTGCTTGACTCCAGCAGGGTTGCAAGAAGAGTTGCCTGTTGTTGGTCAGAGTCAGTTCGTGTGTTTAATGTAAATGAGGCATTTTTTTCCAGTATGTAAAAACTGTACTATCAAACAGCTGAAATTTATCTACTCTGAAAAAGAACGGAAGTACTAAGCAGGTATAGTTAAGTCAGTCCTTCATGAGTGATTTTGGCCTCAAGTTAGTTTGGACATGGATAGAACCACAGAACAGCCTAGGCTGTTAGGGACATCAAGAGATCACCTGATCCAACCTTGTGTGGGAAAGGGAGCCTAGATGAGATTATTTAGCACCCTGTCCCATTGCATCTTGAAAACCTCCAGCAATGGGGACTCTGCCGCATCCCTGTGGAGGTTGTTCCAGTGATTGATTTGTCTCACTGTAAAAAAAATTTCTTTCATTTTCTTGCATATAGTTGGTATTGATGAATTGAATGAGTAAAGTTATAAAAGCTACTTTCAAACTTGTTTTAGTATTGTTGTGTGTGTCCTGCTGCTTGTACAACTTGACTTTTATCCTCTGGGGAGGAGGGAAGTCTTCGGAGTGATGGAAGAAAGGGTCACCAAGGAAAAATTCTGCGTAGAACTGACTACAGTGTAGTGAGTTAAGCACACAGAGTAGTAGGGAGAGACCTATTCTTTGCCCTGTTTAAATGAAGAGGCCCTCAACAGCAGAGGACTAGGATGAATATTCCCTTCTTATATGTATTTAATATATTCTGAAATGCTTTTGGAAAAGCTTGATTTAAAGGCATGTTTGTTTCTTTTAAAAAATATCCTTAACACCAGAAGTGTTCATGCTGCTGTTTCTTGTCCACACAGGGTCTGGCTTAAGGCATAAATGATTATGCAAACTACTACAGTGGGCAGCATTTGAGTTGTAGTAGGTTACATTTGAGATCTGCTTCTGATGCCCAGAGATGCTCAGCTGGTCTACTTTGTTGGGCAGACAGCTAAAACTGTAGAGTAAAGGTGCAAGTTCTGTGGGTTTTCTACTATTGATTAGTATTAGCTATATTACTATAGCTTAGTATTATGTGGGTTCCTGTGAATCTTGTGGTGAACTTGTAAACATGCTTTTGTTTTTGGAAGAGCATGCAACTGTTGATGTCCAGTATAGTTCTTCCTTATTTCTGGTATTAGTGAATAAAACATACTGCTGCTCAGTGTTGAGGCTGGGACATAGATCAATATCGACAGGTTGTGGGATATTTTTTTGTCCCTTCTTGAATGAAGGCTTTCTTTCTACTCAGAACTGCTTATTTGCACTACATGCTGCTGCTTTTTTTTCTTGTAACATTTTGTTTGTTTGTTTTTCAGCTTAACTTCCCATTTCTAAAGAACTAAAAAGGCAGAAGAAATTAAAAAGTAATAATAAGATTGAAGTGGTCTTGCACTACTCCCTTCTTTGCTCCCTCTGCTCATCTAGCATCTCTTTCACCCTTTCCACAATCTCAGCACTGATGCAAGAGCCACCTTCTCTGCACCTTCTATCATCAGGAAAAGCCTTCTCTACTTTCTGACTCATCAGTTCCTCTTTGCCCTCCACTCCCCGCTCCAAATCTTACCTTAAACACTTCTCTTTACCTTTCAGTCTTACCAAATTTCTGTCCCACTGTTGTCCTGAACTTGACTTTTTAAGGGCATACCATACGGTACTTTTACAAATTATTTTCTGTAACTAATTTTTCAGCCCGTACTGAATTTTGTAAAGCTGTTTGAGATGCAGTTTGTGAAATGCTTTACCAGGACTTGATTTTTAGTATCTTAGTGGAGCTTAATGGTGTTCTTTGTTGTGACCCGTCAGTAGTAATAGGCAAGCAAGAATGGGCTGCAAAATACTACTCTCTGCTGTGCCTCTAGTTGCACTGGGCATCTGCTCAGGAAAGACACAGTGAGGAGCTGGTGAGTGAGTGTACATATGGGCCTGATTAGGGTTCTCCAACAGCATCCTACTAACTTTAACTTGCTCGACCTCTTTCTTTATATTTAAAACAAAGAAACAAAACCAACTCTGCTCCAGAAGGTTCAGTAATCCAGTGTTTCTAGTCTTACTCTTGGTAATGAACCATAGAGTTGGTTGTGTCTTTGTCACTGTCAGGTCCTGGACCGATGCTTTGTGGAAAAAGCCGAATGATTGAAGAAAAGCCTGCTCCAAAACAGTCATCTTTTGTGTGGGACTGGCTGTAACCACTACCTTAGAATGCACTAGATGGCAGGTTTTTTCCTTAAAAGGAAGGAAAGTGGATCTACTTCTGAGAAAATAATAATGACAATTGTTTGGTTTGAGTTTAAATAACCCATTTACTTTTGGGAATGTGTGGAGTGGGATGGTCAGAAAATGGGTTTCTTTGACCTGTGATTACAAAATGTCCATATCAGTGTGATTGATTTTCACAGATAATACACATGGGCGAGTTGTCAATTTCTGACTCGGACTGGTATAGCGATATTTTTCATTGATGTTCCACACTTGCTAACACCTAATCTTTAATCTCTTAACTGTGGGGTTTTTTGGTTTTTTTTTGTTTCGGGTTTTTTTTGCTTAATCTGTGTGTGAACACAGTTGTTTGCTTTGGAAACACACAAAGAATAAATATTGCTTCTTGACAATTTTAACTATTATTTTTTTAAACTTGATTAATTGGATCTTAATGCAAGTGATTGGGTTTCTGATTTTTTTTTTCTTCTTCCCTCATGTTGTCAGATTAGAATTTTCCTGACCTTAAGCATTAGGTTGAATTTACAGCTTGGTGAAATGCTCCTGGTCAAGGGTTCCTTGGAGGTGAAAATGGTTTTTAAAAGTATTTTTCATCAGTAGATCTCAATTACTTTGTGATGGTGATAACTCAGCTGACAAAAAGCAGCTGGATAGTGAAAAAGTCTCCCTCTTGAAGTTTGACAAGCAGTGAAAAAAGGGGAAGGATCAAGAAGAACTCTTCCAGTGTGTCCATGAGACTTCCCTAGTTCAGGACTGTGGGTGTTTTGGATTTTGGGGTTTTGGTTTGTTCTTGTTTTTGCCCCTGGTTCTCTATTTCACTTTGCATGAATCTTGTGTGGTATATTGTCATTTAACTGCAGAGGTAATTAATACTTAACACATTTGCTATAGCAGTCTGTTGGTTAGAATGCAAGAAGGGCTTTACACCGTTTTCAGCGTTATTATGAGTAGTAATGGGAAATTCTATGCTCTGTTAGTGTGATCTTCAAATCTCTGTGTGAATTCTGACTACACCTTGCCAGAACCACAAGTGCTGCTCTCTAGTTAGACGGAAATGAGTTGGGAATCAGTGCCTTGCCCAAGGCCCCTCCTGCATTTTGAAGTCTTTGACTTGAAGACTTATTTTCTTTTGGTCTGGCTTATAAATGGCTGTTTTTTCAAGGGTCTGCAAGAGCACTAGAATTCTGTGAGGATCCTTTCAGAAAAGTGACTACAATGGCATCGTTTCCTGCTCTCAGGATTTTGTGTTCAGTTATCTTAATGAAGGGGACTGGATACCCTTCTGCAGTGAACTACGCTAACTTTAAACCTGCATAGCAGTATATAGAGTGCTGGAGTCGCACTTGCTGTTGGCTGGCAAATCAACTCACCAATCTGGTGGCAGTGGTGATCTTTTCAGAAAAGGGAAGCACTAAGCTGACCGATTCCAGGTGGAGTTTGCAGAATTGGAGATTGGAAGGAGACTTGGTAAGGAATAATGTTTTGACAAGGAATAACTGAAAATCAGGTGACTTCCAGATTGCTTTATAAGTTTGAACTGCATTATAAGGTAAACATTCTCAGTGAGGTACATAGCAAGGATGCCAAGAGATATGAACAAACTTACAGTTGAGCACCCAGTGGTTCTCTTCCCACTGTAGTATTTTATGTAGTGTATTAAGGTTGAATGCTTTTTATATAACATATGTTATTAAGCATGGTCTGTTCTTTTGCAGTTACTGTTTTCTAACTCTTCTCAAAATGAGACTGATGCTTTGCTGTCTGTATTAGTACTAAAGATAAGGTTTCTGGTGTGTCTAGCGTCCCTCTTAACCTTTTAAATGGAATCATGACTTCTGCAAGTGCTACAATTATGCATGCTTAAATGCATTAACTTAGTTGAAAATTCAGTTGCACTTGTTTATTTTGAGACTTTAAAAAATACTTGGCAGGACTTTTTTGGTTGAACATTATTTCTGTTTTTTTTCCTCTTATCAGGTAGTTGGCAAAAAAGGAGAAAGCCACTAGGACGCAAAAGACACTGGAAGGCCTTATCGCAATTAGAGATCTTCACTTTTATCTACAACTCCTGGATAATTGCTTGACCATAACCAGAGACTGTCAATCTGTTTCATTTAATGCCATTACCAATAAATCATTGCTTTTGTTGAGATGGCGTTTCCCTAGTGTGTTTCTCTTGTAATCCTCATACATGTATTTGTAAATAAAATTCATTACTTTTGCTAAGTTTAATTTTGTTATTCTAGTAACTGTGGCTCTTCCCTTGTTCCATTTTAAACTTCGAAGCTCAACTGGCTTGTCTTTAGAAACAGAAGGTGTAACTTAGCTTGCATGTGTTCAGAGAGTTTAAAATGTCAAATATAAGTAAAACATAGATGGCCTTCAGAGGCTATCAAAAAATAAAATCCAAGCTACTTTGTTATAAGATCAAGTTCCCACAAAACACAGATACTTAGGAATAACTTCACCTATTCTGGAAATTTCCATTTCTTTCCCCACCTCAAAGAGCATCGGAGGAGGGAGCGTATTCTAAGTTACCATTCCATTAACTTGCAGATTTGTCACAAAGAGCATGCTGATGCAAGCTGTTCAGCTCTGAGAACTCTTGAGTCTTTTGCAAGTGTTTTGGTTTTTTTAATGTTGTTAGAAAATATAGACCTTGTTTCTCAGGAAGAATCCAGCAAGCTGTGCAGCTATGGGGCTTTAGATGTTTGTGCACCCCACCTGAAAATAAATCCTTTATTTCTTTTATTGGGTGTTTTTCCTCTGTCTGGATCTTGATAAGGAAATATTTATTGCAAATGCTAATTTTGCATCTTAATTGGAATTGCTATACTACTTTTGTAAATTTTCTTGGAAGTGTGCCCTAAGTAATTTTAATAAATCGGGCATTGATCAGCACCATATATGTATAATACTGTATAAATTCCCAGTAAAACTTGCTAAGTGTTTTAATTGGCATAATTAATTTCTTTGTAAAGTTAAATTTGTTACATTTCTAATTACCATAAATCCCACTAAGGCTTAAATCCTGTCCTAATTGGCATTCCTTCCTTGAACGCAGTAGGGTAGTTCTCTTCTGGCTTGGCAGATTTGTATGTTAATACCAAGTTAACTTTCTGTTAGCATAGATATTTTCTCCAGACAGAAAACTGGGGATTGTCTAGAAAAACATTCTTTGAGAGGCACTTTTTTTTCCCCTGCTGTATCACTGCAAACTCCAGGATACTCCTCTGCGTGTCTACAGTCAATGGCATGCGATGACTTGGTTTCTTCCATACTTAATGTTTTGCTTCAGTGAGGGGTGTAAGGCATGTAACACGCTGTATATAGAATATAAATCCTTTTTAAATTGAGGGCAATATGAATAACTGTTCCTGTTTATAACTTTGTACACTAATTACCTTTCTGGGTTATTGTTTAAGTGCCTCATCTTAAGTATTGCTTACCTCATAATATTTATACCTGAGAGATTTGATAAGCTGGTGATTCTCATCTTTGTAAAAGATTAGTCAAATTTATATTGTTTAAGACTCTTCTATGATTTCCTTGGTTGCATGATACCTATCTTCCATAATTATATGATGTACATAGATCTAAATAAATGTTTAGAGGTAACTGTCACATGTTTCACTTAATGGAAAATGGGGTAGAATTGTGTACAAGGAGCTAAAAATCACAAAACTGAAGTTATGATGCAGTACTGGTTTTTAAGCAGCGTTACCCATACGTGGCGTTTGCGGGTGCACGTGGGTCTCGCAGGATGAGTGCTTGCAATGCAGCTGCTTGGCCTGGGGCTTCTAAGTTTCGTTCTTGATGGGAAAAGTCACACTGACGAGTTGATCTGTCGTAACTTAATGGGAGCCCTAAAAGGGAACCGTAATGCCGCTTGTGTTCAAATAATGCAGAGGCTGTGATGGTTTGTTGCTAGGCCAAGCTACAGCTGACTGATGTTCACTGTCCTTAGGTTACATCACTTGCCCGCTCAGTTTGCGACTTATACACCCTAAGGCTGGTGTCTGCTTGGGACAGGATGGTGGAAGGAGCTGCTATAGCGTTCAGAAATCTTGCTGAGGTAAGTGGCACGTGTGTGCAGCCATCACTGGTGTGCTTTGATGCACAAGCAAGGTCTGACCCAGCTTTGCCAGCAGCCCTGTCCCCTTGTCCCCTTCAGCCGGCCCACCCCGTGCTGCTTTGTTTCTAGCAAAAGTTGATCTGTTGCACTTTCAGTGAAATGCTGAAAGGTTGCTGAAAATCTGTGAGTGCACGTGTATTTTATAGCAAGCGTCTTAGTTCAACTGGTGGCTTAAAGAATAGTTTTAACTGTGAACCTTCTCTTGCTTCCTTCAGGGTTGGTAAGCTGGCCGTGAGGTTTGCTTAGTGTCTTTAAATGCCAAGAGGCTCTTTAGTCATGGGGTTCCCCAGGACTGGGCATATTGGCCAGGGTATCGGGGTGGAGACTGCATGACAGAATTCATCCGCAGTGCGAGCCCTTAGCGAGAGTATCACCATGTTAAAACGTTCCTGTGTGGATGCACTGAAAAGACCGAGAACAGGGACTTGAATTGCTAGCAGATATTGTGCACTGGGAACCTTTGATGTAGGCTTGTCTCGTCTTTGTCCTTTATGTTACTTGCGTATTGAGATTAATAAGCATATATTACCAGAGAGCTGCTGGGCTTGATCTAAAGACTGCTAGAAAGAGTGAATACAGCACTAGGGAAGTTGTTTATTTTCATGTTTATAGTCCTCAATGTTTTTACTTCTGATAAGTTTGAGGTACTGAAAGACTAACCTCTAAATACTGATTGGCTTCTGAATTAATGGAAGAAGTATAAGAAGTAATAATGGTTAGAAGCTAAAGCCTGAAAAAGCGCTTGCGGTCAAGGAGGTACACCTTTAATCTGCCCGATTCCTTCAAAATACCACATTTCCTACTTCTGTCATCTTCTCAGCTGAAGATGCTTTTAACATTTTGTAGGCAATAGGAGACATGACGCATCCTCTTAAAGCGTGGTGAGGAGGAAACCAAGAGTACGATCAGAGGTGATAAAGAAGTGGAAATGCGAAGACTCCTCTCCTCCTTTTTTCTCAGGCCGGCTTTGCAATGCTGGGAGTGATGAAGCGGCTCGGTCATGGAATTGGTGGGTGGAGAACCCATGGCTGCTCTCCTGTAACGCTTCTGTATGAATGTCTTACACTGGCTTGTCTTGGAGACAAATGTCCTGGGCTAGTTAAAGCGTGTGTAGGGGGAAGTACACTGACAGAACTTGCATTGCTTTTGTGGATGTGGTATTTTGATTTCTATACCTAAAAAAGCACTTTTTATTACTTGTGACCTTCTAGTGTACATACAATGAGAGAAGACTCCCAATGTCCAAAGGGTTAATAACTTAACCGGCAGCAAACGCCACTTCTGAAAAAGTTACAGGTTTTCTTTAACAGCCAGTTTGTAATTGGATTTAGCAGAATATTTTTGAGATATGCGAATAAAATACTTGGGTACTGACTCAAATATCAGCTCTTTGCATAGTATAAAATTCACTTGTGTTAGGGAACGTGAGTATTTATTACTGAAGATATTACTCTGTTACCAAATACGTTTTTTCCTGTGGATGAAACTTTGGAACAGTCTTTTCAACTGGAGTATTTCTTAATTTTTGGTGCATGCAAAAATGCATGGCATGAAGGAAGACACTTTAAGTGACTTGTTCTGTACATAATTCTTAAAACATGTATTTCTATTAAAGTTTGGGAGAGCGTTCCCCTGTTTGATGCCAGCATGTTGGAAAGGTGGTTTGGAACATAGTTATGTGTGATTTCTTCTTCCCCTGTAGCTTTTAATGGCAAAATGGTTGTCTTGGTATCAAATCTCCAGTAAAGTTCCCGTGAATTGCACAACATGAAAACACTGAACAATGGAATAAGGTTTCTTCTTTAGTGGTAAATGGCAGGAGAAGTTTATGTTGTGCAAAGAACACAGTGGATGCACTATTGCTCCACTGCTCTTCCTCACTGCTGCATTCAAGACTCAGCATGCTTTGTACCTGAAATAAAACAAAGTATGCAAGGCTTTCATTAAACAAAAATGCACGTACAGAAGCATGCCTGGAGAGAGTTAGATCCAAGTTGGCTGTATAAGGAAACATTTTCCTGCAATGGTCTGATACTGAGCAGTCCAGGTAGCTCTGTGCATTATCCTTAGGTACTCTTCTCGCACTGCTCTCCGTTACTGGGATTCTGGTATCCGGGATGGTCCCAGGCTGAGCTCTGAATCCCCGGTCGGAGTGCTGCGCAGGGCTGGTTTTACCACCTTCTTTCGAGGGAGCTTCTCTGTGAACATGTGTGGAGGCAGCGAGTCTATTCCAGCTACTTCTGGACTATTTTCTAAAGTACTTAATGTATTGTTTTACTGGTGTCAGAATGCCAGTTTTAATCAGAAAGCTGAGCAGGATAGAAGAAATAAATATCTAATTACCTTTCTGAGTATGGAATCTTGCTAAAAAATGTGTATATAGATGAGTTTGTGTGCTAAGGTCGTATTTTTTTTATAAAGCTGTGTTGACCGGCATTAGTTGTACTCCTGCCTCTTGATTATCTTTTGATAATCTTCAAACTTCTGTTGTTTTTGTTTTGGTTGTAGTTTGTATCAATTGGGACTGATGTCAAAGCAACTCCTACTTAATTGGCCTTGAATATTGGCAGAGTTTGGAAAGTTTTTCACTTCTTGATTTTTTCTTTAATGAAATGCAGGGTATTCCTGAAACGAACCTAGCAAGGCTGCACAGATAATGCACCACAGCACTGTTTTAATTTATGTGTTGATGAAATGTTGATTGAATGGAGCTACCTAATGCCTGTGGCTGGCTTGATTGGGATCTTACTGGTTGGTGCTAAGTCTGGGTGGATACTGTTTCTCTAAGTTCAAGTGGCTACAGCTTTCTTGTAATGGTTGACCTTATTTGAACAAGAAATTATAAATTTTTTTTTAATTGGAAATCTGTTTGAAGAGGTAGATTATTCCACACAAAGAAGCAAACAGCAGGTTTGCTTCTTTGTAGCAGTTGAGGGCAGCTTTGCTGGTAGCCTTGTGCCTGTGTGCATACCCTCTGTGTCTGCGGCCTGCCCTGCCCTCTAAATACTGATTGGCTTCTGAATTAAT